TAAACCAATGAAAAACTGACGTAAACTGATGAAAACTGATGTAAACCAATCAAAAACTAACGTAAACTGATGAAAACTGATGTGAACTAATGAAAAGCTGATGAAAACTGATGTAAACTGATGTGAACTGATGAAAAACTGATGTAAAACTGATTTGAATGGATGAGAAACTGGCGTAAACTGATGAAAAACTGACGTAAACGGATGTAAACCGATGAAAAACTGACATAAACTGATGAAAACTGATGTAAACCGATGAAAAACTAACGTAAACTGATGAAAACTGACGTAAACCGATGAAAAACAGACATAAACTGATGAAAACTGACGAAAAACTGATGTAAACTGACGTAAACTGATGAAAAACATGTAAACTTCTGAAAACTGATGTAAACTGATGAAAACTGATGTGAACATTTGTCCGTTTACACCCGCCGACATCCGGTCCACCAAAAAGGGACGGATGGGGATCCAATTCCCCTTCCATCCGTCCATCGGATGTGCTCGGCCACTTTATTTAGTGACTGAAAAAGAAGAATCTGCAAATCTTTTCTGGATTTAGTGCCTATTACTCACCTGTGCTGATCTCTATAGGAACTTCCTCCTCTTTAATCCTCACCTGTCCTTCTTCCTCCTCATCAGCTTTGACGTCGCTCTGAGTGTCTCCGGGGTCTGTGAATAAAGCTGAGAGTGAAGCCCCCTGTACTGATATGTATGAGAGACCCCAGAGAAGGTGTGAGGGGGAGCAGGGCTGCTCTTAGAAACCATGGGGTCCCATACAACCAAATTGACAGGACCCCCTTAAAAAAAAACCCAAAACAGTTTACTATGCTTCAGGTATGAATGAACACAGTGAGTGAGCAGCACCGATCACTCATTGTGTTCATTCAGGAAAGGAAGGGGCTGGTAAATGTGATATAATGGACCCTTCCCCCACTCTCCATCCTGAAGGGTCCTCTAGTGTGCTTGCAGCTGCCAGTGGGAAGGAAAGGAGAGAAGCTGGCACTGTGGAGGCCCAGGCAAGCAGGGGGGCCAGGCAGCTGGGTGAATCAGATGTGCACAGGGAAGTTGATGGGTGAGGCGGGCGAGGGGACAATTACTGGAACTGATCCTCTGTATGGCTCTCTCTACTGCAGGTGAAAGCCAGCGGGAGGGAGAGAAGAAGCTAGCTTTCAGCTGCTGCAGAGAGAGTCATACAGGGGATTGGTTCCAGTAATTGCCCCCCACCGTGCCATCCACCTCCCCATCCGACATCTAATTCACCCAGCAGCCTGGGCCCCCTGCTGGCCTGGGCCCTGTACAGAAGGACTGGTGGTACCCCCATATCCACAGCACTGGGGGGAAGACTGGTCACAAATGGATCATTTGGGTTTGTTCTCATGTTACGTAGTTTTGGTAAAGCGATTGTACAGAGATCATATCTGGCAAGCTCTTACTCTACATGGTTGAAGGTAGACCTAAAGGAAATTGTACAATCAGATCCTACAGTGTATGGTCAGCCTTACTGTCTACTGACAGAGGAGGGGGGAAAAGAAGAGATTATTGTATTGACTGAACAAGGAGGATCTGGGACTCTTCTCTGGATTTAGTGTTTATTCCTCACCTGTGCTGATCTCTGGAGGGATCTCCTCCTTACATGGATCATCACCCATCAAAGACGGTTCTTCTTCATCCTCGACTTTGACGACAATCAGGCCTTCATACTAGGTAGTACAGTAACTTTGTTAATGCCGATTTCGGTATTCTTATTTTTTTTTTGCAAAGCAGCATGAGGTTTACCTAGAGCCCTCAATTCTATTACCTGATCCTCCTGAGGGATATCCTGATCCTCCTGAGGGATCTCCTGATGTTCCTGTGTGGAGTCCCGGGAATACAGAGGACGGGGACATCTCTCTGGTGGGTTCCCATTACTGGATCCATCTGTAGGAAACACACACACTGACTGAATACATTGTTTCTATGTCTTTATATCTTTATATCAGAGGATGTGTGTATCTAGGTGGATCCTCAATACAAGAAATGAAAGTCTCCTCTTACCCTTACCCGGTGATGTGAGGGGTGGCCGGTTCTCCATCATGACGTCCTTGTAGAGATCCTTGTGTCCTTCTATATACTCCCACTCCTCCATGGAGAAATAGACAGTGACATCCTGACACCTTATAGGAACCTGACACACACAATGATACAGTCACCATCCAGACACATCCCTTGTCTGTTACTGGAGAATGTCCCAGAATTCCCAGCACCGCTCACCTCTCCTGTCAGCAGCTCAACGATCTTCTGGGCGACTTCTAGGATCTTCTTGTCATTGTTTATCGCAGATATCAGGGAGTAATTTGGAGGCTCCGTCATGGGTCTTCTGCTCCAACTTTGTGACACGTGAGTCATGTGATCATCGGTTGCTTTCTTCACTATAATACATTCCTGTGCAAATAAATATCAATCAATAGAGAAAGCAGCTCACATCTCATAAATCAATGGAGGTCCCCAAAATGCATTGGTTCTCTAGCCAGGCCTGTTTTTCTTTTACAAATAAAGATAAAAAAAATATGTGTGTGTGGGGGGGGGGGGGGGGGGGGGTTGCTAAAACTGGAGGGTGCAAAATCCTGGATATAGCTGCTGATGGCTATCGTTGGGGCCCAAAATGACGTTGGAGAATTTATGTAACCCCCAACAGAAATCGAGCAGTAATCCTCAAAACTGAATCCTAGGGGGGTCCCAAGTTGGGGTGGGTGGTGTCTCTTTACAGGAACCAATCGGCTTCCAGATTTTATTGTCAAAACTTCATTAAATAAGCTGAGGTGAGAAGCTGATTGGCTGCAATGCACAGGTGCACCTGATTCTGAGTGCTCCAGGTTTAGTGAATCTCCCCCAATCTGTATCCCGGCCACCCGTACATCCACCCTAGTTAGAGATGAGGGGAGCCAGCCCCTGAAAGGATAGAGACTTGGTGGAACTACAAGTCCCAGGATGACTGTGTGCAAGAGAGAATGAAAAAGATGGGCCAAGGGCATGGGGCTTAGTCATCAAGTGGAGAAAACCGCCGAGTGCCAGTGCTTGCCTGTGTTAAATGAGTGGCACTGTGGTGCTGCACCCATTAAAAAAGGTCACTGTCATTGGAAGGACCACAAGGGACTGTGCCCTGGAGCCCAGAACCAGTTAAGGACCTCTGCACCTACAGTTCCTGTAGTCTCACCTGGGATCGCTGCTACAGTGTCCATAGTTGCCTGCTTCACCCTCAGAGACCACAAGAAGCAGCCTACTGTACGTCCGGAGTTCCAGATGCTCACAAGAGGAAGAAACACCACGGCAAGTTGAGGATTACTGCTCGATTTCTGTTGGGACTTACATAAATGCTCCAACGTGATTTTGGGCCCCAACGATAGCCATCAGCAGCTATATCCTTGGTCAGTAGAAGTGGTTTAAGGAGGAACTGGGACTTTTTGTTTTGTATATTTATCTCACATTCAGGGCTCCCCTATACGTCAGAGTCAAGGAGGTGTCAATTTTACCCCTTTGGGTTCGGGGTACCCTGTAAAACTGTGCTTAAACACACCTTGTTCGTGAACTGGCATTTGTGTACCTGATATTTGCTTTTGTTTGAAATTATTCACTGTTACTGTGGCTAGGATTTGCTCTTTTGGGCGTTCTAAACCCCCAACAGTACAATCGCTCTGTATATGCAGTAAAGCATGCTTGTTATACTCACTGTGGAACCTAAGGGGTTAATCCTCCACATTGTGTAAAAAGGCTGTTTGATCCTGTCTCCTCCCCTTCTTCCATAGTCCCCAATCTATCTGCTGATAGTACAGAGCACTAGGAGTCACTCTGCACATGCTCAGTGTGTTGTGTATTGATAAGAGCGTTTTTTTTTTTTTTTTTTGGGAGTGTGCAAGTGATCAGCATAGGGCCAGTCAGCACTGTCTAGACAGAGGGTCAGGGGTCCTGCATCCTCATGGGACAGTCAGAGGAGAATGAAAACTCCTCCTACAAGATTAACCAGTGCTCTGCTGGACACTGATAGAAGTCACAAGACTGCTATATACTGCTGATGAGAAAAGGTGTTTAGTAGTTTATATTTACTAAAATAATTGCATGTTGTGTACCGTGGGAGACCAGTTATAGTAAATGCGGAGTCCGGGGAGACCTGATATAGTGAATGCAGGGTCCGGGGGAGAGCGGACATAAAGAATGCGAGGTTCCGCGGGAGAGCGGATATAGTGAATGCAGGGAGAGAACCTGATATAGTGAATGCAGGGTCCGGGAACCTGATATAGTGAATGCAGGGTCCGGGGAGAGCGGATATAGTGAATGCAGGGTAAGGGGAGACCGGATATAGTGAATTATTATTATTATACAGTATTTATATAGCGCCAAAGGGTATGCTCAGCGCTGTACAGTAGAAGGGGGGACATAACATGAGACAAGACAGTAACAATACACTACACGAGGGGTTTGAGGGCCCTGCTCTTTCGAGCTTACAGTCTAGGAGGGAGGGGAAGGTGGTACAGGAGGAGATGGCTGTGGGGGATGGAGTGGTGGGAGGAGTGGAGGAGGTTAGTTGTTAGGTGAGGTCGGGTGTTAGGTGAGGTTGGGGTAGGCTTCCCTGAAGAGGAGGGTTTTCAGGGTGAGGAGGGTAGGTGACAATCTGATGGATTGAGGTAGGGAGTTCCAGAGGATGGGGGAAGTTTGATGAAGTCCTGCAATCGGGATTAGCAGGAGGGGGGAGCTAGAGATGTGGAGCGGTTGGTGAGGGTGGATGAGTCGGGTAGCCGCTGAGTATTTAGGATCAGGAGTTTGTAGGGTAAGGGGAGAGCAGATATGTGAATGGCTTTGTAGGGGGGAACGGTATTGTGAATACAGGGGCCGGGATTAGAGAGGGGGGAGGCAGATGTGAAGCGGTTGGTGAGGTGGATGAGTCTAGCCGCTGAGTTATAGGATCGAGTTTGCAGGGTAAGGGGAGAGCAGATATAGTGAATGCAGGGTCCGGGGGGACCGGATATATAGTGAATGCAGGGTCCGGGGAGACCGGATATAGTGAATGCAGGGTACGGGGAGAGACCGGATATAATGAATGCAGGATCCGGAGAGAGCGGATATAATGAATGCAGGGTCCAGGGAGAAAGTGGATATAGTGAATGCAGGGTCCGGGGAGACCGGATATAGTGAATGCAGGGTACGGGGAGAGTGGATATAGTGAATGCAGGGTCCGGAGAGACCGGATATAATGAATGCGGGGCTCAGGGGAGAGCGGATATAGTGAATGCAGGGTCCGGGGAGACCAGATATAATGAATGCAGGGTCCGGGGAGAGTGGATATAGTGAATGCGGGGTCCGGTGAGACCGGATATAGTGAATGCGGGGTCGGGGAGAGAGCGGATATAGTGAATGCAGGGTCCGGGGAGACCGGATATAATGAATGCAGGGTCCGGGGAGAGTGGATATAGTGAATGCAGGGTCTGGGGAGACCGGATATAAGGAATGCAGGGTCCTGGGACAGCGGATATAGCGAATGCAGGGTCCGGGGAGAGCGGATATAGTGAATGCAGGGTCCGGGGTGAGCGGATATAGTGAATGCAGGGTCTGGGGAGACCGGATATAGTGAATGCAGGGTCCGCGGGGACCGGATATTGTGAATGAAGGGTCCGGGGGGGACCGGATATTGTGAATGCGGGGTCCGGGGAGAGCGGATATAGATAATGCAGGGTCCGGGGAGAGCGGATATAGTGAATGCAGGGTCCGGGGAGACCAGATATAGGGAACGCAGGGTCTGGGGAGACCAGATATAGTGAATACGGTGTCCGGGGAGACAGATATAGTGAATTCAGGGATATATATAGTGAATTCAGGGTCCAGGAAGGCCAGATATAGTGAATGCAGGGTCCGGGGAGACCAGATATAGTGAATGCGGGGTCCAAGGTTTAGTAACAATACCCATCTTTTCCTCCAGCCTGTGTGTGCCAGTGTCTGAAGTGTTGTCATCACTAGAAACCAGGGAACCTAGCAGTTCCTCCTTGGGTAAGTACTACAAATGTCATGTGATCTTCCCATGTGACTTCCAAGAATCCTTCTCACCTCTCTGGTCAGGTCTGTGTTTTAAGAATGAGATAAGAATGATGTCATGTGACCTCCCAGAATCCTCCTCACCTCTCTAGTCAGCAAGTAGATGATCTCCAGGGTGAGGTTTAGTATCTTCTCAGTCATGTGACTAGGCTCCTCCCCCATCCTCAGTCAGATGATCAGATTTGAGGGGTTTCCTGTTTGTATTTCGATGTTTCAGGACCCAGAAACCTAAAACCAGGAGAAGTAGAGAAGATCTATGACAGGGGTCTCCAAACTTTCCAAAGAAAGGACCAGTTTACTGTCCTTCAGACTTTAGAGGGGCCAGACTATGGCCATCGGAAGTAGAAAATGCCCTGACATCAGTGGGAGTAAACAATGCCCCATCTTTGATGTCTGTGAGAGGAATTGAGCCCCCTTGTTGGTGTCATTGGGTGGGAAGAATCATGCCCCATCATTGGTATAATTGGGAGAAATTGTGCCCCATCATTGGTAGGAACTGTGCCCCATCATTGGTAGGGACTGTGCCTCATCGTTAATGTCATTGGGAGAAATTGTGCCCTTTCATTGGTCTCAGTGGATGGAATTATGCCCCATTGTTGGTGTCTGAGGATGAAATATAGCCCCAAGATCCAGATAAAAGCAAGCAAAGGGCCGCATTCGGCCCCCGGGCTACAGTTTGGAGACCACTGATTTATGAGATCTATTATGTCATGGGTCAACTTCATCCGAGACAGACAAAGGGAGAAGTACGGAGCAGAGACCTGAAGGGAGGAAAACAGGATCAGCGCAGAAATAGATATGGAGATGAAGAGGACCTGTTATTCCTAGGGGGAACACACATCTAAGTGTGAACAAGCTCAGAGCAATGATCCCAACACACTGACTGAGCTTCCAATCGCCGTTTACGATTGATACTCAATGGGAGGGGCTCCAAATCATGTGACTTTTGAGGCAGCCAGTCTCAGTAGTTAGATGATCACGAACTCAGTCTCTTCCTCCCGTCATCCAGATCCTTAAAGTGGTATCAAACCAGCTTTCTGGAGGTCTTGCTCAGGTGGGTTTAGACTAGGATCTGAACACTCCGGGGGTCATCCCTACTTTAGACTGCACGGGTCAGATGTAGGGCACATCCTGCCAAACTCATCTCTTGCCGAACTCTGAACTTGCGCTCTCTTTTCCTTCAATGAGCTACAGGCTGGGTCACAGGGGAGGGCTTTGAGGCAAAAATAGCTCACTGGAGTAAAAAAGTACGCAGGTTCGGATAGCGATGAGTTCGCAGCGCACCGGAGCTCATCTCTACTAGCCACTGATGCCGAATCCATCTCAGCATCGGCACAGGATAGGTGAGAATGTGCGCCAGGCAGGGAGATGACTATGTTATATCCCTGCTAACCAAATTTAAATGAATTAACCCCCTCCCTACTTTATATAGGACATGTGACCAGTCAAGAGCCCCCTTCCCCCCCATCCAGTCCACACAGAGTGCTGGGATCCCCTTTCTCCCATAATCAGACATTATTACCTCTTCTACACTCTCCAGCAGGAAGGTTCTTACAGCTAATGAAAAAAAAAACTCTTGTAGGCTACAACAAAATGGCCAACAGGCTCCTGTTCTGAAGACACTTCCTCTTCTCACAAAGCAGTTTGCCTTCAAATGGTGGCCATTTTGTTGTAGCCAAAACAAGGTATAAAAAAGGGGATTGTTTTGTTTTTAACCTGATAGAAGCTTCCTCCTGCAGAGTGTGTGCCCAGTGAGGAGGAGGTAATAATGTCTTCTTATTATGGGAGAGGGGGGTCCCAGCACTCACTATGGGAGGGGGTGGTCATGTGACTTCATTCAGGTCACATGTCTTGTACAAAGCACACAGGTGGGGTTTTTTTTAATCCCCATATGAGCTGTCCTCATCTCCTTCATGTCTGCTTCTGTAGTTCTTCATCCTGTCTATCATGTAGTACTTAATATAGATGAGCTCCACTAAAATCTGTACTATAAAATGTGTATCTTCTATGGGAGGTAAGTATGTGGAGCAGAGTGACCAGGGGGTGAGGTGGGTGGAAGGCTCTTTGACCAGCGTGTTGAGGTAGATGGAAGGCTCTTTGACCAGGTGGTGAGGTGGATTTAAGGCACTTTGTCCAGGGTGGTGAGGAGGATGGAGGGCTCTTTGACCAGGGTGGCGAGGAGGATGGAGGGCTCTTTGACCAGGGTGGCGAGGTGGATGGAATGCGCTTTGACAAGGGTGGCGAGGTGGATGGAATGCGCTTTGACCAGGGTGGCGAGGTGGATGGAATGCGCTTTGACCAGGGTGGCAAAGGGGATGGAATGCGCTTTGGCCAGGTTGGTGAGGTGGATGGAGGGCGCTATGACCAGGATGGCGAGGTGAATGAAGGGCTCTTTGACCAGGGGGTGAAGTGGATGGAAGGCGCTTTGACCAGGGTGGTGAGGTGGGTGAAAGACGCTTTGACCTGGGAGGTGAGGTGGGTGGAAGACGCTTTGACTGGGGAGGTGAGGTGGGTGGAAGACGCTTTCACCGGGTAGGTGAGGTGGGTGGAAGACGCTTTGACTGGGGAGGTGAGGTGGGTGGAAGACGCTTTGACCGGGGAGGTGAGGTGGGTTAAAGACTCTTTGACCGGGGGAGGTGAGGTGGGTGGAAGACGCTTTGACCGGGGAGGGGAGGTGGGTGGAAGACGCTTTGACCGGGGAGGCGAGGTGGGTGGAAGGCGCTTTGACCGGGGTGGCGAGGTGGGAGGTGGGTGGAAGGCGCTTTGACGGGGAGGCGAGGTGGGTGGAAGGCGCTTTGACCGGGGAGGCGAGGTGGGTGGAAGGCGCTTTGACCAGGGAGGCGAGGTTGGTGGAAGACGCTTTGACCGGGGAGGTGAGGTTGGTGGAAGACGCTTTGACCGGGGAGGCGAGGTGGGTGGAAGGCGCTTTGACCGGGGAGGCGAGGTGGGTGGAAGGCGCTTTGACCGGGGTGGTGGGGTGGGTGGAAGGCGCTTTGACCGGGGTGGTGGGGTGGGTGAAAAGAGGTGCTACATACATAGTTAGTCTGGCTGAAAAAAAGACAAAAATCAATCTAGTTCAACCAAAAAAAAAAAGTTATAATCCTATACCTACATTTGATCCAGAGTAAGGCAAAAAAAACCCCCAGCAAAGCATGATCCAATTTGCTTCTGCAGAGGAAAAAACTCTACACCAAGTTCGCTATATGAACCACTGATGTATTTACACATGGAGATCATATCCCCCCTTAATCTCCTCTTCTCAAGAGAGAATAAATTCAGTTCCTCTAATCTTTCCTCATAGCTGAGCTCCTCCATGCTTCTTATCAGTTCGGTTGCCCTTCTCTACACTTTTTTCAAGTTCCTTGATATCCTTTTTGTAAAAATTGGTGCCCAAAACTGAACTGCATATTCCAGATGAGGTCTTACTAATGATTTGTACCGGGGGAAATTATATATCTCTCTCTCTCTGGAGTCTATACCTCTTTTAATACAAGAGAGGATTTTGCTCACTTTGGAAACCGCAGCTTGGCATTGCATGCCATTATGATCTACCAGAACTCCCAGATCCTTCTCCACCATTGATTCCCCAGTTGTACCCCCCCCCCCCCCAGTATGTATGATGCATGCATATTCTTAGCCCCCAGTGCAGAACTTTACATTTATCAACATTAAACCTCATTTGCCACATAGTTGCCCAATTACACAGAGCATTGAGGTTGGAGACATCCTGTAAGGACATTATTCCCCGGCACAGCTTGGTGTCATCTGCAAAGACTGAACTTATACTTTTAATCCCAGCTTGAAGTGTGCTAGAAGTGCTTTGACCAGGGAAAGGGGGTGAGGAGGGGGGTTTTAGGTGCTTTGGCAGGGTGGGACGGGGGGACTAGGTAAGTGGGAGACGCTGTGAACAGAATAGGAAAGGTGAGGTGGGTGGCAGACAATTTGAAAACGGGGTGAAGAAGGTTAATGGTGCTTTGATGGTGAAGTGGGTTTAGTTCGGTAGGGGAGACGTGGATGGCGTTGTGCAGCTGAAGTGTGGAATAGTCTCCGTGGTCAACGTGCTTTCTGAAACAATGACACTGTACTACTAATTGCAAGATTCCTGAATGGAGGTGTGCTGACCCCATGGCAGGACTGTCAGCACACTTCTGTTCAGGGAACTTGCATGCAGTAGCACAATGTTACTGAACAGTGTCAGGGTCATAGAACCCCTAACCCAAGCTTCAACATCAGTGGGAGTGATTGGTGCACGTAGTAGGCAGATTACTGTGCAATGGACTCTGGGAAGTACTGGATTGGGGGTGATGAACATTGGTTGTAGGATCACCTTCCACTTCTCAGAGTCCTATTGGCTTTTGCTAGTGGGGGAGCAGTAATAGAGGTATGGCGTTACGTATGCCCTTCTTTCTGTTCCCCCCCCCAAAGACAAAAGTAGGAAATTTTTATATATATTTTTATATTTATTATTTGTCCTATTTATGTATTTTTGTGCCCTAGGCCAGCCAAAGTGAAGACAGAAATAGAAACACCTTGAAACAGGATTACCTGACTGAAAATGGAGGAGGAGCAGAGTCGCATTACAGGGAGAATATTAAACCTCACCTTGGAGATCATCTACCTGCTGACCGGAGAGGTGAGGAGGATTCTGGGAGGTCACATGACATCACTCTTATCTCTATTAATAAAACACAGACCTGACCGGAGAGGTGAGGAGGATTCTGGGAGGTCACATGACATCACTCTTATCTCTATTAATAAAACACAGACCTGACCGGAGAGGTGAGGAGGATTCTGGGAGGTCACATGACATCACTCTTATCTCTATTAATAAAACACAGACCTGACCGGAGAGGTGAGGAGGATTCTGGGAGGTCACATGACATCACTCTCATCTCTATTAATAAACACAGCCCTGACTGGAGAGGTGACGAAGAGTCTGGTGTGATCACGTGACTTCACTCTTATTTCTATTATTAACCACTTCAAGTCTGGCCACTTTCACCCCCTTTCTTTCTAGGCCAATATCCAGCTTTCATCGCTGTCACACTTTGAGTGACAATTAGTCATGCAACACTGTACCCATGTGAAATTTCTAGCATTTTTTTTTTAGACAAATAGAGCTTTCTTTTGATGGTATTTAATCACCACTGGGTTCTTTTTTATTTTTTGGGTTCTTTTCAACCCATGAAAATCTTCTGAAAAGTCGGGGGTCGTCTTATACGCCGGTATACGGCGAGCCGGTGTCAGGGCGGCACTTTTTTGAGGGGCGGCGCCGCCCCCCCTCCTCCTCCAACGGGCACTAAGGCCAGGTAAGGTGGGCAGAGGGGCTGCTGTACCTTACCTGGCTCCGGTCCCAGTCCCACGACGATCCGGTCCAGGAAGCGCGGCTGCTCCTTCTTTCAGTTCGGCAGTTCGATGGTTGCTCAGCTCCGCCTCCTCACCGGTGATTGGGCGCCAGCACTGGAAAGGCACACAGGCGGCCAATCACCGGCGAGGAGGCGGAGCCGAGCGGCTCCGTGAAAATCTAGCGGCCGAACTAAAAGAAGGAGCAGCCGCTCCTCTCCCCCACTGACACTAACGATGGGGCACTATTCCTCCTCCACACTGACACCAACGATGAGGCACTGTTCCTCCCCCACTGACACCAACGATGAGGCACTATTCCTCCTCCCCACTGACACCAATGATGGGGCACTATTCTCCCCACTGATACCAATGATGGGGCACTATTCCTCCAACTGACACCAATGATGGGGTGCAATTCCTCCCACTGACACCATCATTGGTGTCAATGGGAGGAATAGTGTCCCATCATTGGGGGTCCTCACTGATACCAATGATGGGAGGAATAGTGCCCCATCATTGTGTGTCATCATTGGATGAAATAGGAATAGTGCCCCATCATTGGTGTCAGTGGGATGGAGCAGTGCCCATCATTTGTGTCAGTGGGAGGAGTAGTGCCTCATCATTTGTGTCAGTGGGAGGAATCATGCCCCATCATTGGTGTCAGTGGGAGGAATAGTGCCCCATCATCAGTGGGAATAGTGTCCCATCCATACTGAAATAGCATACCATATTGAAATCAAATCTGATGGGTTTTTTTTTGGTGTGCGTTGGAAGAGGGGTAGTCTTATACGGTGAGTATAGCTCAAACCCTATATTTTAACAGGAAAAGTAGGGGGTCGTCTTAAACGCCGGAAAATACGGTAAATGAAAAAGTACCAAAAATTTTGCTTAGTTTTTGTTATAAAATTTTGCAAATAAATCGTATTTCTTCATAATCGTAGGCCAAAATGTATTCTCCTACCTTTTTTTGGGCATAAAAACCCAAATCAATGTAGACAGAATAGTAACAAAAAATTCAGCAGAAATGCATGTCTAAGAAATGATGACTGATTTGCATGTTCATGAAGGAAATAAGTATTTGATCCCCGTCACAAAACATGACTTAGTACTTGGTGGCAAGTCCCTTGTTGGCAATCACAGAAGTCAAGACGTTTCCTGCAGTTGGCCACCAGGTTTGCACACATCTCAGGAGGGATTTTGGCCCACTCCTCTTGGCAGATCCTCTCCAAGTCTTTAAGGTTTGGAGGCTGACGTTTGGCAACTCGAACTTTCAGCTCCATCCACAGATTTTCAATCGAATTAACGTTGATGCGATGCAGTTGTTTCCTTAGCAGAAAAAACACCTCCAAAGCAGAATGTTTCCACCACCATGTTTGAGAGATGGTGTTCTTGGGGTCATAGGCAGCATTCCTGCTCCTCCACATGGCGAGTTGAGTTGATGCCAAAGAGCTTGATTTTGGTCTCATCTGACCACAACACTTCCAACCAGTCCTCCTCTGCATCATTCAGATGTTCAGTGGCAAACTTCAGATGGGCCTGGTCATGTGCTTTCTTGAGCAGAGGGACCTTGCGGGCACTGCAGGATTTCAATCCTTGTCGGCGTAGTGTGTTACCAATTGTTTTTCTTGGTGACTGTGGTCTCTGCTGCCTGGAGATCATTGACAAGATCCTGACGTTTAGTTCTGGGATGATTTCTCACTGTTCTCATGATCATTGACACTCCACGAGATGAGATCTTGCATGGTGCACCAGACCTAGGGAGACTGACAGTTGTTTTTGTGTTTCTTTCATTTGTGAATGATTGCACCAACTGTTGTCACCTTCTCACCAAGCTGCTTGGCAATAGTTTGGTAGCCCATTCCAGCCTTGTGTAGGTCTACAATCTTGTCCATGACATCCTTGGACAGCTCTTTGGTCTTTGCCATTGTGGAGAGTTTGAAATCTGATTGTTTGATTGCTCCTGTGGACAGGTGTCTTTTATACAGTTAACAAAATGAAATTAGCACAACTCCCTTTAAGAGACTGCTTCTAATCTCAACGTGTTATCTGTATGAAAGACACCTGGTAGCCAGAAATCCTGCTGAATGATAGGGGATCAAATACTTATTTCCCTCATTGAACATGCAAATCAGTCATCATTTGTTAGACATGCATTTCTTTTGAATTTTTTGTTGCTATTCTGTCTGTGTTACAATACACCTACCATTCGATTTTTAGTCTGATCATTTCTTTGTGAGTGGGCAAACATTCAAAATCAGCTGGCGATCAAATACTTATTTCCTTTAGTGTGTGTGTGTGTGTGTGTGTGTTTGAAAAAATTGATAAGTTGAGACCCTAAAATGCCAGGCATTGTTATGAGGTATGGCAGTGTTTAGTAGTATGAGATGAAAAGTGCTCAGGACGAGAGTATGTGGTATGGCGGTGATCAGGATGCTGGTATGACTTATGGGGTGATGATTACCGCCATACCCCATTCCAGCATTCTAATCACCGCCATACCCTATTCCAGCAGAACGCTGGAATGGAGTATGGCGGTGATCAGGATGCTGGTAAGGCATATGGAGTGATCACAACATTGGTATGGGGGATGGTGGAGGTCAGGATGCCGGTTTGGGGTATGGCAGAGATCAGGGCGCTGGTAAGGCATATGGCTATGATTAGGGCACTGGTATGGCATTTGGTGGTGATCAGGATGCTGGTATGGCATATGCTGATGATTAGGGTGCTGGTATGGGGTATGGGGGTGATCAGGACGCTGGTATGGGGGTGATCAGGACGCCGGTATGGGGGTGATCAGGACGCCGGTATGGGGTATGGCGGTGATAAAGACATTGGTATGGTGTATGGCGGTGTTTGTGTGAGCACTGGGACAGACGACATGTGCTGGCTGCATGTTTTTTATTTGCACTGAACGAGGGCAGTGATGATAAACACTGGGGTGGCTTGCACTACAGTCTGTGAGTGTACAAGCAGCCTGAAAGGCTGCTTGAACACTCATAGGCTGCAGAATCACTTCTCTCTGCTCTCACAGTGAGAGCAGAAAGAACTGAACTTTACTTTCAGTTTCTCTAGATTACTATGTGATTTCTGTGATTGGACACAGCAATCACATGGTAAAACACTGTGATGACCTGAACACAGCAGTAATGTGTGATCCGCTGTGTGTCCGGGGTGACACTAGGATTGCCGGGCTCCCTGCCGATGCGGACCAACGTACAGGTACGTTAGCCCTCTTTGGCACTGCTTCCCTGTCTGCCGTCTATAGTCTATGGGCAGACGGAAAGCGGTTACTTTGTGAGCTTATCCTTTCAAAAGAAATAAAAAGATGAACGAACACCCTACATCCTCCCTATTCCCCTAGTCCCAGCTTTACCTACCCATGAGTGATGAGCTGTCTGGTGTCAGGTGTTCTTCCATCCCCATGCAGGCAGTGCCATTTCGTTCAGGGCCGTGCATTTGCACGGATTTCACAATGAGAATAGCGTCTACGGTCCATGCAGGAGCTGCATCCCAGTTAACAGCAATGGGACTGCCTTACCAGGAATGCAGGGAACTCCTGTGCATCCTTGTGTGGCTAAACACAGCCGTTCATGAGTGTAGAGTTATGTACGCCCCATGTGAACGAGGCCTCCATACTATGACTGGAAAAAAGGGACAGTCTGCCAGAGAACATAGGATTGCTTCTGGAAAGGGAGTAGAAATGAAGACCTGGAAAGGCATAGGCAATTACATTGATTTACATTAAAATGTGCATTGTGTTGTCTTTGAAGTGATAATGTTTTAACTCTTAAAACAGGAATGCATTATAGTGAAAAAGCCCTTTGATCACATGACTCACGTGTCACAACATTGGAGAAGGAAACTGAGCACCATGACGGACCCTCCAACTTACTCCCTAATAGCTAAGATAAACAATGGTAAGAAGATTCTAGAAGTCATCCAGAAGATCATTGAGCTGCTGACGGGAGAGGTGAGCGGTGCCGGGAATTCTGGGACATTCTTCAGTAACAGACAAGGGATGTGTCTGGATGGTGACTGTATCATTGTGTGTGTCAGGTTCCTATAAGGTGTCAGGATGTCACTGTCTATTTTTCCATGGAGGAGTGGGAGTATATAGAAGGACACAAGGATATCTACAAGGACCTCATGATGGAGGACCATCCACCCCTCACATCACAGGGTAAGAGGAGACTTTCATTTCTTGTATTGAGGATCCACCTAGATACACACATCCTCTGATATAAAGACATAGAAACAATGTATTCAGTCAGTGTGTGTGTGTGTTTCCTACAACCCACCAGAGAGATGTCCCCGTCCTCTCTATTTCCCGGGACTCCACACAGGAACATCAGGAGATCCCTCGGGAGGATCAAGTAGATGGATCCAGTATTGGGAACCCACCAGAGAGAGATCCCCGTCCTCTGTATTCCCGGGACTCCACACAGGAACATCAGGAGATCCCTCAGGAGGATCAGGTAGCTCATTCTGTTTGGAATGTCTTGACTTTGTAGGACCTGACCACCTTGGGATGGGCCTCCCTTCCTTGGTAGCCTCTTAAGGAGGTTTCTTCAGATGCCTTACATTGTTCTGTCCTAACCAGACAAATGTTCTTAGTGATACTGTTAAGATTTCTATACCCTGCTCTGTGGCAATTGAAGCTTCACTGGATCTGGGGGAATCAGAAGCTTTCCTAGGTTTGTAGATCAAGGATCCTTTATTCCTTTTATTTTCTGTCCTATCTGGTGATTCTATCTCACCAGTATGAGGCCAAGGTCTCACCTTCACTCTTGTGTAATATAAGTAGCTAGGTGCTATGGAATAGGGACTCCCAACATGCCTCCAATATTTGTATGGTGTTCAATATGGTCCTTATGCAGATATAGTGCTGGACCACTTGTAGAAGAACTTTGCTACACCAGTTGGGTATTCCTGGCAATCAGTACCTTCTAATGATGAGCTTACATGTTGTGGCTGCAGTTTGTAGTGTTGTGGCTGATCAGTTCCCCTATGCCTATCTATCTATTCATTCACCTAGCTTACTTTTTTTTTTTTTTTTTTTTTTTTTTATTCACCTTCACTCCTGCCCTCCCTTGTAGGGGTGCTGCCCATGCACCCTACTCCTTCAATCACTTTGCCAAATCCAACCCCTGAGTTCTCTGGAGATCTCAAAACCACTTTACAACCCTGGTGGTGCTTTGATAAGTGTCACCTAATGAGATTAGTTGTTAGGTCAGACAACCTCTTAAAGTGTTACTAAACCCACAACAGTACAATCAGTCTGTATAGGCAGTAAAGCATGCTTGTTATACTCGCTGTGGAACCTAAGGGGTTAATCCTCTGCATTGCGTTTGATTCTTTCTTCTCTAATCCTCCCCTTCATCCATTGTCCCTAACTCATCTCCTGATAGAACACAGCCTCTGGGGACACTCTGCACATGCTCAGTTTGGTGTGTACTGCTAGAGAGTTTTTTCTTTTTCTTGGGAGGGTGCATGTGATCAACACAGAGCCAATCAGCACTATCCAGACAGAGGGTTAGGGGTTATGCAATCTCATTGGGCAGTGAGAGCAGAATGAAAACTCCTCCTACAAGATTAACCAGTGCTCTGCTGGACACTGATAGAAGTCACACAAGACTGCTATATAATGCTGATGAGAAAAGGGATTTAGCAGTTTATATTTACTAAAATAATTGCATTTCCATGTTGTGTGTACTGTGGGAGATCAGATCTAGTGAATGCGGGGTCTGCAGAGACCGGATATAGTGAATGCGGGGTTCGAGGAGACCGGATATAGTGAATGCAGAGTCCTGGCCTTTGTCTTTTTTGATTCTAGAGGATCTGGGGTGCAGGGACCTTGGGCCTTTTTTGTGTAGACCGTCTGGTCTTTCTCATCTAGATCTGTTTGATCCTAGGTTCCTTCTCAACACCTGTACATTCTAGGGATTGACCCCTTTTTTTTTTTTTTTTTTTTTTTTTCTTTTTTTTTTTTCTATTGACCACATCATGTTTTGGGTCTTCTCCTCTCCCCTCACTGGAATTCATTATGTTTTACCTGTTTTCAGTGGGTTTGGTTTATTAGCTTTTCGCTAGTTCAGGTTTGGATCTCCCTTTCTTGTAGACTCATTCCTTCCTTCTGGAGATGACCTCCTAGGTATTGATCCTCAGGCTGATTCTCCATGTCCACCCTTGACAGGTTCCCCCCCCATTGGTAGGGGGTTGGCCTCATTTGGTCCAGATTTAGGTCTTGATTCTTCAGGTGCCTCTTGGGCTGCAGGCACGCTCCAGTTCTCTCTCGTTGGTCGATTTTATGTTTTGTTATCCACCCTGCAGGAACTGCTTTTCGATGTCCTGAAAATATTCCTGTGTCCCTCAATAGTCAAGGAGAAAATTTGATGTTTGTATTCACTGTAAAATCATGAGTCAGTTGAGGGACCCTCTTCGATGTTTCTGTCCATGCTTTTAGTAGTGCTTGCTACAAACTGAGGCATGCTGTAGAAGGGGTATCCTGGTGCCGGCCTACAATGTTCTCGTTTGCCATTATCCAGTCCTCCTGAAGGGGACACTAGCTGAATTCATGAAAAGGATTTTACAGTGAGTACAAAAATTATTTTTTTTTTTATCGTAGATTGAGAACAACAAATAATGTTACAAAGAACCTAATGTATCTTATTCAGGAAGAAAGCCTTATCGTGGTTAAAGTTGAAGATGAAGAAGAGCCATATGTGATGGAGGATGAGCCGTGGGAAGATGATGAAATCCCTCCAGAGATCAGCACAGGTGACTCCCAGATTCTCCTTGTTCAGTCCCTACAACAATCTCTTCTTCTCCCCCCCCCCACTGTCAGTAGACCTTAATGGGGAGACCGCATGATTTGTAGAGTGTGGGGGGGTTTTTTTTTTTTGGTCACAGTAATAAAGTGAGTCACGTGGTCGACTACCAGTGGCCAGCTTCCGGAAAGAGGAAGGACAGCCGACAACGGATGCCCCATAGTAAGCCTAGGTGTGACATCACTGCCCAGACATTCCATCCAATGTCGGCGCTCTCTCTCCTCTCCCCTGAAGCCAGCTGCTGTGCAGATTGCATGACTGGACTGAAGTGCCCTGAGAATATGGAAGAAAGGGCCTCTTCCTTCTACAGGTTAGTTAGTATAGGAGTTAGAAGGTGGGTGGACGTTGTTTCAGGCTTTGTTCTAGCCAGGACTGCAGGCGTCATCCCGGTATAACCAGCGACATGGCGGTACGTATGTGGTTATGATTCCATTTTTAAATATACAAGCGTACCTCGGTTTATGAATTTTAATTTGTTCTGCGGGACTTTTCGTATTGCGAAAAATTCGTAAACCAAAACGTGTTTTCCATAGGAATGCACTGAAAAGTCTTTGCACTTTAAAGGCATAAATAGTGTACAGGGACATGATTAATTGGTTTTCAATGCATTTACGAATTACTTCTTATATTGTTCCGGAGGTCAGAAAAAAGTAAAATAAAGTATTTTATCTGTTCAAAACTCTTTTATAAAGTTCCCTTTTAAAGGCATAAATACTGTACAGGGACATGATTAAAAATGAATTCATAAATGCATTGAAAACCAATTAATCCGTTCTAGAGGTCAGAAAAAAGTCTTATCTGTTCAAAACTCTTTATAAAGTGCACTTTCACCCCCTTCCTGTCCAGGCAAATTTTCAGCTTTCAGCGCTATCACACTTTGAATGACAATTGTGCGGTTATGCAATACTGTACCCATATGAAATTTTTAGCATTTTTTTGAGCCAGATAAAACATTATTTTGGTGGTATTTATTCACCACTGGGATTTTTTTTTTTTTTGCTATATAACTAAAAAAGTGCAAACATTTTGAAAACTGTTTTTTCTCATAATTTTGCAAATAAATAATCTTTCTTCATAAATCTTGGCCAAAATGTATTCAGCTATCTTTTTAGTAAAAAAAAAAATAACCCAAATTAGTTTTATAACCAAAAATTATAATTTTTCAAAACATTTTTTACATTCTTATTTTATCTCTTTTATATATATATTTTTTTTAACATACTGTCACCCTAGCAGTACAGTGTCAGCATAGTGACACTGTACTACTTGTGGGGGAGTGATGAAGATTTTTTTTTTTTTTTACACTGATTGCTTTTACACGCATAAAGGCTGTAAAAGCAATCATTTCTCCTTCTCTCTGGCTGCATTCCTGCAGCCATTGAGAAATACTGTGTGAGCTGTGATTGATCACAGCTTGTCACATGGTACAAGGCTTTTGAGAATAGCCCTGTAACATGTGACCTCTGTGATCATTCAGATTTCACACGTAGTAAGCAATGATGTCAGAAATGACATCTTGCTTACTACTCTTCATGTGATCACTGATTGGCCAATCAGTGATCACATGAATTGGGACCTAACACAGATGTCCCATACAGCGAATGGGACATACATGTCCGGACACAGCGGGGACCGGATCGCGGTGCCAAGCGCTCGCAGGGAGCACGAACAAGCAGGAAGACTTTTTTAAATGACCACCCGCTCCTGCACTGCTCCCATCTGGCCGTTTATGTACATGGGCCGGACGGGAAGTTGTTAAAGGCATAAATACTGTACAGGGACATGATAAAAAAAAAAAAATTTGTAAATGCATTGAGAACCAATTAATCCGTTCCGGAGGTCAGAAAAAAGTAAAAACAAAAAGTTTTATCTGTTCATAAAGTGCACTTTAAAAGGCATAAATACTGTACAGGGACATAATTAAAAATTACTTCATAAATGCATTGAAAACCAACTAATTCGTTCATATTGCAAAAAAAATTTGCAAACTGAGACATTATTTTCAATGGATTTTCATTCGTAAACCGAAAATTACATTTACCGAGGCGTTCGTAAACCGAGGTACACCTGTATAAGAGGAAAACCTTTGGAACATTTTAAAGCTGATCTTCACCCAAAAGTGAAAGTGCCACTACTTCCCCTCCCCACTTCTGTGTCTAACATTTTTTGTTGTGTGTTTTTTGTTTTGACATTTTTTTGTCTTTCCCATTGACTTAACCATGTCCACTTGGGCCTGCCCATGCCACCCCCCACCCACCCGCAGCCTCCTTGGGCATCTAACACGTCCCATGAGGCTGCAGGGCCAGTTCCATAACACTGTGCAATCTCGCCCATGTGCATTGGGGGAAATCCA